CCCCCCATTTTTCAATATGCCCCACTGTCTTTGATCATAGTGCCTTGTGGGACCATCTTAAGGAACATATTTCAAAGATCATGTTTATTTGGTCCTCTAAAACAGTCGAATGCCAACTCAACCAAGTTTTTTCCTCAATCTTAGCTTGGAAAAGCTAATACCTACTACATGTACTAGATTAATTTGATTTGACTCAAAACAAAGTGCACCAATTAGTGTTGACAAGCAGTCAAAACAAAAGAAAAGAATTTGGACACAGTAAAATCACTGTAAACAACTACTACACTATTATAATACAACAACTTGTAGACCTATTATAACTAGTACAACAACTACTACGACGAATACTGCTACTATAACTACAAGGGTACAATTATTATCACTACCACAACTGCTAAATGACTACTTCTACTACTACAATTATTAGAGCAGTTTTCGTATGACTGAAAATCTTGCTGCACAAACATGGCCATGACATGGCAAAAAACACACCAGACCAATCATATCGCGCAAAAAACTTGTTTTGTATCCAATGGAATGCCCGTAATACAGTGTGGATGCAGTAATATCAAGGCCACACAACTGCTAGCCTCCTTTGAAGATGTCATTAGGGTCATCACGCAATGCTAATGACATCTGCAAAGGAGGCCACTCAACTGCCAGACCAAACACATCATGCAAAAAAACAATCAGCCAATTAAAATTCTAGTCACAGTCACAGTGAGGCACACATGACACTGAGCTTGTCACAGTCATGTGAGAACTACCCTATAACAACAACTACTACAGCTACAACAACTATTGGGCTCCCTGTGCTCAAATTTTTAAAATTTCTGTTGTCAAAGTTATACCTAAAATTGAACCCTGAATTATAGGAGGGCGTGAGGTCTACCTCTCCCATCCCTTCACCATTGTTTAATGACTCCCTGTAGGACAACTTCTCAACTCCTGACGAACCTCCATTAACAGTTTCGCCATTGTATTCTCTCCAACAAGTTCCCCTGTTGTCTTATCTATCTTAGCAGTCCAAAAATCTGTCTTTCCTCTCATTGGTATATGCACCAACAACCTATCTCCTGTCTCCAGCAACAAACTATTGAACGGCTCTTGTTGAAACTTTATCCTCAATGCATTTTTCATGCGAATTTGAGCGGCATTTTGATCCAAAGCGTCTTCAGCCAAGGTGATTTGATGTTTAGCAGTGCCGGATTTTGACCCTGCAGATTTTGCTACGCAACCTTTTGAGACGTTTTCAGGCCATTTTGTAGCTGCTGGTTTATCGAACTGGCCTCCTTTCGTGAACTTTTCACGATCTTTTGGGACGAATTTCATTCCTTGAAAATAATGTTCAACTGAGGGAAAGATTCCTTCAGGCATCTCGAGGTCGACTTCGTAAAAGTTGGAAAATTTATTGTAAGGGTCTCTAACTCTTGAATGAAAGATTATTGGCACGTCTAATTTGCTTTTTTTGCTCATCCTTGTTCGAGGTGAGTATCACATGTGAAGGTTCTACATTGCTATGAGGATAAAACTGGCTCTTTCTTCTTTCGATGTGGTGGTGCAATCATTTCCGCCATTTTGAATAACAAGCGTATAGATCGCTTGTTGGGGTTCCTGTGGACTAGAAAGCAGAGTAACGCAATTTTTAGTCTCATTTACTTTTCTTTTTCTCTTTTTCTCCTATTCATTTTCTCGCTAAGTTGCACTTTCTGATCTGTATAGGGAATGTGTTTAATAAAGTATGTATGGAGCTTAGTGGATTTAGCAGGAATTTTTCGCGCCAAAACGCGTGCGCTTCTCCGATACCATATCTCGATTAGACGGGTAGGAACGAAACCGAGGAGCTCTGGGTACGAGAATGGAAATAAGGGCTCCGCGCCCGGTTGTACGAAGCCTGGTAGCGCTATCCAAGGGATAAATCCTTACCCAATGGATAAGTCCATGCTGTTATCCAATAAATTTATCTACCGGATAGTGCTATCCAACTTTCGTACAATCGGGTCCCGGGTACGAGATTGCTAACACACACAACTAATTCATGTGCGACTCTCGCTACGCCACTGCACTGTCCACCTCCCCATTTCTATAAAATTCCTCGTAAGAAAGCAACTGGTGTAACGAATACTTATAACAAAGACTATTTTGCCTCTTTTTTACAACAGGTATCTTCAAGGTATGGAATACAAAGAAAAATCACTGAACCGGCAGTTATACCTGTGACTCGAAATATTAAAAAAAACAACATTGGAATGAAATATTTTTCTCGCTTCCTTATAATAACTAAGGATATATCGACGTCTGGCTGGATTTTAAGCCGCTTCTAAATCACCAATGGTTGAGCAGGTCGTCGATATCTTCTTTATGATTTCATGACAACCAATGAAGATTGGATATTTTAAAACTACGGAATAACTTGAAAATAAGGTAACCAGTCTGATAGCACATCAGTAATTTATTTATTGAATACTATTTCAAAATTTCGTCCTCAATACCTAAATATTGACACTCTTTGTGGTAAACAATTCGATTTTTTATCACCTTATCTAAACAATTTTTAGAGTAATAAACAAACACTTATTATGCGCTGTTAAAAAGCCAATGCACTATGCTAACCTTGGTGCCGGTCCTTGCTTATCTCAGACCTCAGTTTTACATGATAAATTAAATGTTTTTATTGCTCTTATTTCTCTTATTGGTGATAAACCGCTTTTTTAAAATTAAAAGCCTTTTTTAACGAACATATTTTTCATCATCGCTTGGGGTCCCTGTGGTCTAACATTTGGTCCGACTCACAGATTGCAAAGCTTATTCCAGTGATTACTTTGTTATTTTTATTTGATTGAATGTTCGCTGATACGAAGAAGAATGTTCCTGTATATCCTAATAGTTGTGGCTCAGCTGACTGGAAGAGGATCCCGATACGTTAATGGTGAGTATATACTATTGATACACTTGTCATACAGTATACCCATGTTCAGTGTTTCAGCCCATACACGTGGGTGATGTGCGCATGCACTGCTGATGCGCCACCTCTCACCACTGTGGTTAAGGGTTCGATCCCCAGAACCTCCATCACATACAAGTAGAGTCGTTCGTTGGTTCTCTCCTGTCCTTCGAGGATTTTTCTCCGGGTTCTAAGGTTTTCCTCCCACCACAAAGATCAACGCCTAAATTCCAATAGACCTCCTTGGCTCGACCGTAATGCTTTCCCATTTCAGTCCGCGTGTTATTCTCTACAGTATCATTTCTTTGTTTAACGGTTGTGCTGGGGTGCACATGAGAAGACATATGAATATGGATGCAGCTCAAACAAAGAATCTTATTCTCAAGGGAAGGACACGTGGTCTAATAATAATAATGATGATGATGATGATGATAATAATGGCAAGTGTTCTGAAATGGGATAACATTACGCTCGAGCCGAGGTCTATTCGCTTCTAGAACTGGAGACTTATTATATTTAATCACTGTTTTTTTCCCCAGCCCTCTGTACCAATGACTTCGAAGAGGGAATCAGTTCGCTCAAAGGTTGGGAAAGATCCGGCGACGCCTTTAATAATCAACCGACATATGGAGACAACCCATCAATCCGAAAACCTGGAATACATGCAAGTCATCAAGGTCGTTATTGGATCGGGACTTACGAAGACAGGCCAAAGCCAGATTCTCGTCCAGGAAAAGTGCAGAGTGATTTCCCCACAGGAAAACTTACTTCGCCTGCATTTAGAATTACTGGAACCGATATCAATTTTCTGATTGGCGGAGGATGTGACCAATCAAAAGTGAGGGCCGAATTGTTGATTAATGGTTCCGTTGTGGAATATGACACAGGGAAATGTTCAGAAACCATGCGCAGAGTTCATTGGTCTGTAGGGCGGTACAGGGGCCAAACAGCTAAGATCAGACTGGTTGATAATTCCAGCCAAGGATGGGGACATTTGAACTTCGACGATCTAAAGGGAGATATGAAATGTGAAGGTACGAAGTACTGTCTCCTTTCCGATACTAGTTATCACTGCACATGCGTATTGGGCTTATCCGACTCTGATAGATACCAGGACAGAGGGTCCAAATGGGGTGACTAGTTAACTGGCAATTGGCCAAAAAAACAACAACTAGTATTTAACTGACAAATAACCTAAAATAAGTAGTTAACTGACAATTGGGTACCCCCATTGCCATCCTCAGGAGAGGGTTATACGCAAAGAATTTTGCGGTCTTGATTCGAATTGACTGATTTGATTTGCTTACTTGAATAGATACAGCAAGCGGAAGTCCAATAACAGCATCAACAGGAAGTAAAATTACTGAAACGATAAGAAGCGAAAGTCCAAAAATGATGGAAGAAAGTAACCCAACACCCATGTCTCCGACCGGAAGTCCAACCACAGCCTCAGCAGGAAGTACAACGCCTTCAGGGAAAACAAGCGGAAATCCAAAAATGATGGAAGGAAGTAACCCAACATCCATGTCTCCGACCGGAAGTCCAACCAAACCATCAGCAGGAAGTACAACGCCTTCAGGGAAAACAAGCGGAAATCCAAAAATGATGGAAGGAAGTAAACCAACATCCACGTCTCCGACCGGAAGTCAAGCCACAGCCTCAGCAGGAAGTACAACGCCTTCAGGGAAAACAAGCGGAAATCCAAAAATGATGGAAG